GTCTGCTTCTCCCTCTGACCCTCCTCCCTCTCATGCTCTCTGTCTCTCATTCTCTCTCTCTCAAATAAATAAATAAAATAAAATCTTAAAAAAAAAAAAAGAATTTATTTATTTGAGAGAGAGCACACACATGAGTGCACGAGCAGGGGGAGAGGTGGAGGGAGAGGGAAAGAGAATATCTCAAGCAGACTCCCCACTGAGCCCAGAGCCCAGTGCGGGACTGGATCTCATGGCCCTAAGATCATGACCTGAGCCAAAATCAAGACTCAGATGTTCAGCTGACTGAGTCACCAGGTGCCCCCAAAAGATCCTTTTTCTTTCTTTCTTTCTTTCTTCCTTTCTCTTTCTTTCTTCCTTCCTTCCTTTCTTTCTTTCTTTCTTTCTCTCTCTCTCTCTCTCTTTCTTTTTTAAGATTCTATTTATTTATTTGAGAGAGAGAGAGGAGAGACCGAGCACAAGCAGAGGGAGTGGGAGAGGGAGAAGCAGGCTTCCCGCAGAGCAGGGAGCCAGATGCAGGGCTCCATCCCAGGACCCTGAGATAATGACCTCAGCCGAAGGCAGACGCTTCACCTCTTGAGCCACCAAGGCGCCCTCCGTCACTTTCTTCTGTGGCTCCGTGAACACTTGGTTAGGCAGGATGTAGGCTGGATATGTCATTTGTATGTGGTTTCTAAAGTTTAAGGCAAATACGGGACTGACAGCATACATTGTTCAGCTTGCCATGGTACTTGCTTCAAAGTCAGAGCACAGATTGTCTGAACACAAATAGTGCACTGACCCGTTCAGTGACCCTGAGGTCAGAAGCCTTGCCTGCCTGCTGGCCTCCATAGGAAGGTGTCCAGGAGGCCCACGCAGCAGCAGGGCAGTCCCTGCCCGTGGCCTGCAGTGTCCTCATGGGTGCAGAGGGAACGTCCCTTGTGCTGCTGGGGATCTCCCTGTGTCAGACTTTGGGAGAGGGAATGACAGGTAGGCCAGGCTGGATGCTGTCTGACAGCCAGAGTGAGAGAGGTGGCCGTCATTGGAATAGTTAGGAACAAATAACTGTGGGTCGTGTGTAAAAATAAATTTAAATACTGTCAGTTTTTTTGAGTCCTAGAAATCAGTTTTATATTTCACATGTACCCCACAACCTTCCGATAAAAAAAAAACCCATTGTAAAAAACAAAGATACAAACAAAACCCAATAATCCCTTGGGACGCCTGGGTGGCTCAGTCGGTTAAGCGGCTGCCTTCGGCCCAGGTCATGATCCCAGGGTCCTGGGATCGAGTCCCACATCGGGCTCCTTGCTCAGCAGGGAACCTGCTTCTCCCTCTCTCTCCCTCTGCTTGTGCTCTCTCTGTCAAATAAATAAAATCTTTAAAAAAAAAAACAAAAAAAACCACAACCCAATAATCCCATCACCCAAAGAAAGCACTTGTAAGCCTTTTGTATACTCCTTTTGTCTTTGTCTAAAGTACTTTTATTTAAAGATTTTATTTCTTTATTTACTTGAGAGAGAGGGAGAGCACATGAAAGCTTGGAAGAGGGGGGAGGAGAGGGAGAGAATCTCAAGCCAACTCCACACTGAGCATGGAGCAAGGCAGGGCTCCATCTCACGACCCTGAGATATGACTTCAGCTGAAACCAAGAGTTGGACACCTAACCAACTGAGCCACCCAGGAGCCCCTAAAGTACTTTTATTTAAACAATAACCGCTGAAAGATTGATCTCTGTAATGACCCTTGTCTGCCTTGCCTTTTTTGTTTAGGAACCAATAGAACCTCTAAAGGAAGAAGTCTCATTGGTAAGGTTGATAGCTCATCTCATATCACTGGGAAAGGAGTTACCGTGAAGCCAGGCTTTTCTGTGGATGAGTTTTCTGCCTCCGTTCTCACTGGAAAACTGACTACCGTCTTTCTCCCAATTGTCTACACGATTGTATTTGTGATTGGTTTGCCAAGTAATGGCATGGCTCTGTGGGTCTTTCTTTTCCGAACAAAGAAGAAGCACCCTGCTGTGATTTACATGGCCAGTCTAGCCTTGGCAGACCTCCTCTCTGTGATCTGGTTCCCTTTGAAGATTGCTTATCACATACATGGCAACAACTGGATTTATGGGGAAGCTCTTTGCAAAGTACTTATTGGCTTTTTCTATGGCAACATGTACTGTTCCATTCTCTTCATGACCTGCCTCAGTGTGCAGAGGTACTGGGTCATCGTGAATCCCTTGGTGCACCCCAGGAAGAAGGCAAACATTGCCTTTGGGGTCTCGCTGGGGATATGGGTGCTGATTCTGCTGGTTACCATCCCCTTGTATGTCGTGAAGCAGACTGTGTACATTCCAGCTCTTAACATCACAACGTGCCATGATGTTTTGCCTGAGGAGGTGTTGGTAGGGGACATGTTCAATTATTTCCTCTCCCTGGCCATTGGAGTCTTTCTGTTCCCAGCCTTGCTCACGGCCTCTGCCTATGTGCTAATGATCAGAACACTCCAATCTTCTACTATGGATGAAAACTCGGAAAAGAAGAGGCAGAGAGCCATCAAACTCATTGTCACTGTCCTGGCCATGTACCTGATCTGCTTCACTCCTAGTAACCTTCTGCTTGTGGTGCATTATTTCCTGATTAAAACCAGGAGCCAGAGCCACGTCTACGCCCTGTACATTGTAGCCCTCTGCCTCTCTACCCTCAACAGCTGCATCGACCCCTTCGTCTATTACTTTGTTTCACAAGACTTCAGGGATCACGCGAAGAATGCTCTCCTTTGTCGAAGTGTACGGACCGTACGAAGTGTACGGACCGTACGGCAGATGCAAATATCCTTCGCCTCAAAGAAGTCCTCCAGGAAATCCAGCTCTTATTCTTCCAGTTCAACCAGTGTTAAAACCTCTTACTGAGTTTTTCAGGCCCTCCGTTGGTTGTTTTACAGGAGGATTTGGAGCCTGCTTAACGTTGTGGGTATGTTTCTGTTGTCCCCTGACCAAGTGGGTCTCACCACATGCCATGTATATGTAGCACCTCTCAGGATTGCTGGAAGCTTCCCTGTTTGCATGAGGAAAGTCCCCCAAGTTAAGAGATGTCAGTTGTAGAATTCCGCTACTCAGGTGCTCCCGGAAATGGAACTAACAGAAGCAAACTTTTCAGAAGGCGGTAAAAAATCAGAAGCTCAGTGACTTGTACAAGCTCTTGGCTGGAACTTACAGCCATGTTAGAGCTTTAGTGTCCTCAGAGATGATCAGACCAATGGACTGACTGTACAGATGAGGAAAGTAACGAGGTGAAGAAGCTACGCAGAGTCAGAGTCGCTTCCATTCCAACCAGGGGCAGCTGGTTAGCATTGGACCGTAGACTTAGAATGTTAGTGGGGTTCTCCTATCACCTCCTTGTGGAACTTGTTTAAAAATGCAGGTTTGAGAGACTCAGGAATGAGAGAACTCAGGGTCTGAGTCAGGAAACTGCATTTTAACAAGCCTCTGCTGCAGATGCTCATGCACACCCAGGTTTGAGAACCACTGGTCTGGGTGCCAAGGGAGAAGCAAACTGCTTTGTGTCCCTTTCATGTAAGCTTGTAATGAGATCTGTTTGTTGTCTCATTAGGACTCTCAGTGATTTATCAGCCCTTTGAGCTTTTGTATATATCCTTATCGCTACAAGGAAAATACATTGAAGATTTTAAATGTGGAAACACAAAGTTCATGTAACTGTATACTGACTCAGAATCTTAGGTAGTCTGAGTTATAGATGGTTTCAAAGTAAGAGGGGCATTTACCACTTAGTATTTTTCAAAAATTATAGTTGGATTATTTATTGGCAGTTTTTTCCACTTGCTACAAATATGAAATTGTAATGCCTTTGCTGGATTTGAACACATCTGTTTGGAAAAGAATGCTTAAGAGATGTGATATATAAGATATTTAGAGGGTACTTATTCCAAAGTGAATTTATATAACTTGTATTTGTGATTTTTTTTGAAATAATTTTATTGTAATGATTGATTTACAAATAACACATGACCCCCCCCCCTTTTTTTTACAACTTATTTTTGAGTTGTGTGTTTTGTGGGTTTTTTGAGGGAGGGTGTGGGGAAAGGGTAGCTCCAGCATCACTCCTATAAAAAGAAATGATGTGATGCTCACACCATAGTTCTTAGATAAATAAGGCCATGCAGTACATACTGCTTGAGGACAGTTGTTTTCACTTAACAGTTTAGAATTTGTTCATTCTGTGTCTTTCGGTTGACCTCCATTTTTAATGGATACAGACTTGAATTTGGGGGTATATTGTGATGTAGTTAGTTGTTTCCCTAGCGATGTCTCCTGAAGTCTCTTTTTATTGTTGTTGTTGTTATTAAAATGGTGCTGCATTGGACATCTGTGTAGACATCTTTGTGAGTATTTCTATAGGATAAGTTCCTGGAAGTAGAATGACCAGGTCAAAAGTCAGATGACCATTTAAAATTTTGGTAATTCTTGCCAAATTGCCTTCAGTAGTTTATATTTCAACCAAAATAGTACATTTGTACCTGTTTTCTGATATGCTCCTCCACATTTGATCTATCAGTCTTTTGGAATTTTGCTAATCTGACTAGAAACAGAATCTTACTGTTTTAATTTGCGTTGAAGCAGCATAGCCTCGTGGCTAAGAGGGCAGCTCCTGAGCTGGCAGGCAGGGCTGACTTCTGACCCCATCATACCTCGTTTTGTGAGCTAAGGGAAGATCCTTCCCTGTGCCTTAGTTTCTCATTTGTAAAATGAGGAAAATGATATTTTCCTTACGGAGTTATGAGGATTAAATGTTCAGCACACATATGCACTCATAAATATCACTTAGCACTGTAACTGTTACACTGCTAATGGGATTTCATTTCTGCTGCGCCCCCTTTCCCCTCCAGTTCCCGTTTATACCTTGCCTTCCCTGCGGGCTCTGCTTTGAGTCTCATAGCAGGCTTAGGTTGTCTTCATTTTCCAGGTAAGAAAGCAAAAGATGGTGGGCACAGAAGAAAAGGAAGCAGAAGCAGATGGCTCACAGGGGCCCTGCAGGTGGTGTATGGACTGATCCAGTGGAAAAACTTATTTTGGTATTTGCCATTTCTTTTGTTAATCATTTTTATAATACATGCTGGTATATTAAACTGAACAAGAACATATGAAAATTTTCTTTCCTACCTATGCCCATTCTCTTCTCCCAAAGGAAACAAATTTTTTTTTTAATTTTTTTTTTTTTTAAGATTTTATTTATTTATTAATGAGAGACAGAGAGAGAGAGAGAGGCAGAGGGAGAAGCAGGCTCCCAAGGAGCAGGGAGCCCGATGTGGGACTCGATCCCAGGACCCTGGGATCATGACCTGAGCCAAAGGCAGACGCTTAACCATCTGAGCCACCCAGGCGCCCCAGGAAACAAATTTTTATAATAACTTATCTATAAAATGCATATGTATATTATATATTAAATACATTAACGATTATAGATCTTAAATATTATATAATAAATATCTTAAATACGTGAATATATACATGCGCACACATGTTAACTTATAAATCCATTAATATGGATCTTCCTAATTATTTTTAAAATGTTTTTTTAAAGATTTTATTTAGTTTAGAGAGCATACACAAGGGGGGGGCAGAAGGAGAGGGAGAGAGAGGATCTTAAGCAGACTCTCACTGAGTGCAGAGCCTCAGGCTCAGTCTCACCACCGACCGAGATCATGACCTGAGCCTAAATCAAGAGTTGGATGCTTAACCAACTGAGCCATGTAGGCTCCTCTTCCTCATTATTTTTTTTTTTTGATTTTTTTTTTTATTTCTTCATTTATTTGAGAGAGTGAGAGAGAGAGAGAGCACATGAGAAGGGGGAAGGTCAGAGGGAGAAGCAGACTCCCCGCTGAGCAGGGAGCCTGATGCGGGACTCGATCCCGGGACTCCAGGATCATGACCTGAGCCGAAGGCAGTCGCTTAACCAACTGAGCCACCCAGGCGCCCTCTTCCTCATTATTTTTAATGACTAGGTAGTATTCCATGTATGGATGATCATTATTTAGTTCCCTAAGGAAGAGGATTGTTGTTGTTGATGTTGGTTCATTTTTCATCAAACTTTTTTTAAGATTTATTTATTTATTTGAGAGAGAGCGTGCCCGTGCATGTGAGCAAGCAGGGGGAGGGGCAGAGGGGGCAAGCAGACTCCCTGCTGAGCACGGAACTCCATCCCACAGCCTGTGAGTTGAAACCAAGAGTTGGACTCTTCACTGACTGGCCCACCCAGGCACCAGTGGGGTCCAAATTTTTAAAGCGATCTGCAGATTTGAATATTTTGCACTCCGCTGGCTCCACTCAAATTAAGAGGGCCTTCTTAATTTGAAAGCGAATGTGGATTTGTGCCAGCACTAATGCTCAACTGCCTGGTTTGGAGTTGTTTTGTGCATATTACCTGGTTGTCACTTTTGTTGTTTGTAGCAGCAGTTTCAGACTAATTTCCTGGTTACCAAGAGTTCATAAATCCTGCGGCTGTAATCTCATCATATGCATAGTTGAGTGATTATAACTTTCTTCTTGGAACTTGAACTCACTGGAGGCCCTTGGGAGGATTGAACTATGTTACAGAATCAAAGGTAAAATTTGTCACTGCTCCCCACGCCCCGTCTCACTGATTAAAATTATGTTTCTGTGCTGCAGAGTTTGGATGTTGTCTTCACAGGAGAAGTCTCTGATTCTACTAGGTCAGAGGCATGTGCCATCCACCCCCAGTTCTGAAGAAAACAAACACAGATCAAGTCCCACATTTTTTTAAGCCTAGGAACTTCACTGAGATGGTTGTTCGATCTAAATGGAAGGGATAGGAGTCCCTCACACCGCACCTTGTCTTTGTTGAAGGAGAGTCTGAGCTGGCTCAGGTGTGAGCTGCTCTTACCTCTACCGGTCAGTCATTCAGTAGAATATTTCCCAGGCTCTGTCTTTATTAGTGAGAAATTAGGCTCAGCTGAAATCACGGGCCATCCCCTTCTGCAGAAGCCACTGCCCCAGGCTGCAGGCTCCGTGGCAAACTCCGGGCGAGCTGTCAGCACCCAGCAGCAATGTAAGTGCCATGAACAGTGTTCAGTGCAAATAATCAGATCAGGGTTCTGGCACTAGCAGTAGTCATGGGGTCAGTGTTCCCAATGAAATGCACTGATATTAAAGACAAAACCAGTTCTCCAGTATTTGGCTACTGGAAAGCCTTTAAAGAATATCAGCCTATTCCAAAGTTAGATCTTGAGAGTAGGAGAAAGTCAAGGAAAACATGAAGGACAAGAAGGCTTGGGAAAGGCCATCATTATGGTTTATCCCTCTGAACACTGTTTTGCTTAAATTTTTTTTTTTTAAGATTTATTTATTTATTTGACAGAG